CCGGGCCACCCCCAGAAGCGCGTCATGAGCGCCTCCGCCGCCGCTCGCCGGAGGGAAGAGGGAGGACGGGGAAGGAAGAGGGAGGACAGGGAAGTAAGGGGGAGAAAGAGAGGGAAGGAGGAGAGGGAGAAGGAAGGGGGAGAGGGAAGAGGGAGACGGAGAGGGAGGAGGAGAGAGAAAAGGCCCCGCGCAGGACGCACCATGGCGACCGCAGCGCCGCCCGGTGCCGCCGCGAAAGAGGCCCGTGCTGCGGCGCACGAGGCGCCTCGATAGTTCCGGGCAGGAGACGTTGCCGCCCGGGCAGGCTGTTTTCCCAAAATCGCTAAAAAAAAAAGGGCGAACAAAGCCAAAATTCTGTTAAAACGGCCTCGCTCTCGGCGCCCTGTTGGAAAGTAACCACCAGGAGACAAATGCAGTGCGAATGGGAAAGCACCACCGTGGAGAGCAGAGCATGGGCTGCGGGAGGGAGAGGTGACACGAAGAGGGAGTCACCAAAGTTCACAGGGGCAAACCCAGAGCCTGGCTCTGCTAGGCCGGCTTAACCCACGGAAACTCCAGGCCAGGCCATACCAAAGCACCAGCCTGGCCAGGTGCCTGTTTCCACTATAAATACCCCTCTCTTTGGAGAAGAGAGCGCACAGGTGCAGGGCAGCGTCATGTACAGAGCTGCCAGGTGGAGCCACGCGGCGGCAACACATTTAAGCACATTTAAGGGCCCTGAGGTCATGAACACGTTTAAGGACACTGGGATCACGAACACATTTAAGGGCCCTGAGGTCATGAACACGTTTAAGGGCAGCTTGGGGACTTAGAGACCTTTGCCAAGTGGGGCTGATGCTCTGAGGTAAGTGGGTGTTTCAGCAGGGTGTGAGGAGCCACTTTCTGCCTTTCCTGGGCTATAAAACCATCTTGGGGGTGATTTTATACTTTCTGCTGTAATTTAGGAACTTTGATCTAATCTCATTGTGTGTGTGTGTTTGTTGTTTTTGTTTGTTTTGTTTTGTTTTCAAGGTGGTTTTCCTGTCAGGAAAAATTGTGCAATGATGAAGATATGCATGGGAAAACAAAATACTTTATTTCCCTGTAAAGGAAAATAATGAGATAAGGTGCTCTGCCCTTAACATCAGGGAAGAATAGAGGCTTCAAAACTTGAAGATGTCCTTGAT